GCATCTTCCCAGAATCTCGATGTCGAATCTTTCAGCCTCCCCGGTGAAGACGACGAAGAATACTCCCCTTTCGCTGATGATGGACCAGGAGCAGTGACCACCGCCATAGTGTCCCCCAAGCGTGGAGTATTCCCTAAAGGCTGTTTGCCAGTCAGTCTTCGATGTGGTTGACCCGGACGATCCTCTTCTTCCAAGTGTAGTTGCACCATGTTGCACCATGTCCCCTTGTACCCCTTGTTGAATACGAAGTTGTTCATTTTCTTGATTGGTTTGTACTGCTTCTCTCACATGAAGAGCCCGACCATCTTGCAGTTGCACCACCCAACCCCCATTGACCAAGTGGCTAGGACATAGAACGAGAGCCTCCACAAATGGTGCAACGAGTCCTCCATTTTTGTGCCATTTCTTGACCTTGACCCAGACCTTCCCCCGATAAGGTAGCATAGGAAGGCAAGGCGCCCCCAAGTTTTCCAACCGTTGACGACGTTGTTCTGCCGCCACATAGCGGGTCGCGTCTGGCCACGACTCCACCTCACAACCATGTTCTGCTAGCTTCAGGCGAACTCTTCTTTTGATTTGGTGCACCTCTGACTCCGCATGTCCATTTGAGGCTGGATCATCCCCTGCTGTAGTTGTAGGACCAATCCCTTTTTTCACACACCAAGCGGCCATAGACCGAGAAGTCAACTCCTTGGCGCGGTCCGAGTGCAAGCGGTTGACGTAGATGAAGTTGTTCAATGCCTTCTGCATAGCCACAACCACCTCCTCCTTTGCACGGGATGCGATGGGTTCCAGGGAATCTTGTAGTTCTTGATGAAATCTTTCTTCTTCAGGGGATTCTTCTTTCATGATGTTCAACTCCCCCGGTTCTGCATCATCCTCCTCCACAGGTGGACAAACCGGTTCTTCTTGTGGTTGGTCTCCATGTTCCTCCTCAACATCCCCTTCTTTTGTAGGTTTCCCCCACCCCAAATCCGGGACCAATGCAACTGCTATCAGGGCATACTTCATGTAGTAGCTTGTAGTCACATCCTTAGCCCGAGGTAGAGGTCCAACAATGTCCACCGACATAGACCATGAGGAGGTCATAGTTTCTCCTTCTTTTCGCCTTCAATGAGGCCGTTGCGACCCCATTTGTTCCAGTTCCGCCGAAAAGGCCGATGCCCTTGTCGAAAGTGTTGATCCCACAACTCTCTCTCCCTTGTAGCCAAAGCCTTAGCAATCTTGGGACCTTCATGCATCAACTGATCCACATACAGCTTCAATGATGCCCAAACCGCGGCTCTGAACCCCGACGCCCACAGTGCCCATGACCTGGACTGTTCCATGCGCTCCGCCAGGTTCTCTGCCACAGGCTCGTCTTGACCTGGTGGACTTCTCAACTCATGGAGTTCCATCATGTTGGGCAAGTTGGTGAGGATTGTTGTAGGTTTTTTCCTGATGTGCCCCATTGGTTTTTGGTCAAAGCTGACCACCTTCATACCTTCTTCCTCCTTCCTCCGCCAAAACCTGGATCTCTTCCCAACTCTTTAAAAAACGAAGGCATCACACTCCCCGGTTTGTTCTTCCCCGGGTCCTCTGGAGATTCTAAAAGAAAAGCCCGTATTCACCCTCCCGAAATCATACTTGATGCGCGCTTCTCCGGCCAGGTAGTAGATACCAGCTTGCTTGAGGATCAAGGCCGTGTCGTGGTCGGTCAACCTCTGTTCACCAGCACTGAGGTTTGGCAACCCAAACCTTCCTTCCCCTCGATCACGAAGAGGTCTAGGACCAGGTCGTTTGAACCTCATTCTTGACACAGTTCTGCAGGGAGGACCATCGATCACACATTTGATGGCCCATTTTCTGGCCAAACCCGCCAGAAAACCCCACAGACGGGGATTGTGAACATCCTGGTCCTTGCCCTTGGTGATGTCCAGGGTGATCACCTCCCATCCATCTTGTTCTAATCTTTTCCATTCCTCTGCCTTCTCCCCCGCTTAGTGTAGCAGAATCTTCTTCGACTGTTGTAGTCGACGTCGCGTGCTGCGATTCCAAGGCAACGAACCTGCAGTAGAGTCTTGGCTCTCCGACATGTATCGAAACACTCGGGAAGGCACCTGGGGAAAGCGTTCTCGCCTCATGATGTCCTCATCCGAGTTCTCCTAGATGTCCGCTCAGCCACCACCGGACACCCATCTCGCAACCAAGAAGAGCTTTTCCCCTCTTGGGATGAAGCCACTTCGGATGAAGCCCCGGACTGGAACAATAGGCTCAATGCCTCCTTCCACCAAAATAGTGCCGGTCACCGGATCCTGTTTGAGCGACACACGACCATGCGCTAGATCCACTGGCACCAATTCAGCTTTCGCCAACTCACTGGGAAGTCCTGTCCGGAGAGGATGTGTCGCCCCACCATCCAGTAGTCCCACCTTGATGTCAGGTTCTCCACCATCACATAGCGCGGCCATGAGTTTTGCCCGATGGAGTGATTTTCTCACCCACCAAACCTCCCACCGTGTTCACAACATCATCTTGTGGAGCACCTCCCCCAGGCGTAGTTTTTGACCCAGTAGGCACTTCCTCAACCGTCGCCGATGTCCCTGTGAAGTTGAAGCATTGGCCTCCTCCTCCAAGACTCCGCAGCGCGCTCCGGTTTTTCCGGGCTACTTGTGTTGCTTCCCCCTTTGACCTTCGCCACCTTGACCGCCTCTTCCCCCCTCCTTCTTTAAGAACGGGCAGGCTGTACGGCTATGGTTCAAGCCATAGCAATGGAAGCACCGGTTGTCCTTGGGACTCAATCTACTGTGTTTGTACTTGCAACGAACGCCACGCAGACACCCCTTCTCCGACATCCAGAAACGACAGGTGTCTTTGTCACCAGTTCCCACACCGAAGGCCTCGTCAGTGATGTAGAAGAGGTTCCCGAAGTAGGTTGGACTGCCACTGCCTTCAACGACGGCCCCTTTCCCTGACCAACTCCGGCTCCCGCTCCCATCGCCAGCTCTTCCGCCTCCGCCTGCAGGAACTCTGCGAAGATCTTGAGGTTGTCCAAGGTGGGCCTTGTATCGACCAGCAACTGCTGTCTGCTCGTAGCCAACCGATACGCCACCTGAGCTCTAGACTTTGCCAAATGGTCCGAAGCCTTCACCAACACACCTGCGAGGACGACAGGAACCGGGAGGAGCACCCCTAACTCTTCAGTGCTTCAGAGCGACTCCACCAACGCCGCCAAGTTCGAATGACCTGAACGACTTCTCCCATGTTGTGGGTAATTAAGTTTGAGCTCCGTCAAGTTCTTGATGAGGTTCATCCGTTCACTTTGTCCTCCAGGTTGAAATTTGATGTAGAGGGTGAACAACACCTGAGCCACATTCATCTTTCGAGCCGCACCTCCGAGCGAACGGTGTCTGGCACCGCTTGCAGCAACAGGCTAAGCATCCCCCTTTCTGCGCGAGGCCATTTGTTCGCCTCCTCCGAGACAGCTGGACCAAGACGTAGCCGTTGGAGTCTGCAACCAACCAGGCTTCATAGGCCTGCTCCACACTCTTCAGGGTCAGCTGCCACCAATGACTAGCTCCTTGGCTGATCTCCGACGCAATGGGCTCCAAGGTAGTCAACCAGTCACCAAACGTCAGTGCTGTAGCCTCTAGGCCCAGCACCGGCAATTCCACCGACCGAGCATTATCGCCCAGTGATTCCTCAGCTGGCATCCACATGCCAGGTGCACTTGATGGATTGGAATATCCATTCGGAAAAATGCCACACACGCTAGTCCAGGAGGATATAGGGCCAGGGATATGCTACAGACCCCATGCCGACGCCATTGGGACCCATTGACTATGGGTGCAGTGGTCTTCACATGTCCATTAGCCTCCCACTTAGCCTCCCCACCTGGTTGGATCTTTTCTCCTTGAACTTTTCCTCCAGGAGCTTCGACAGCCGATTGGAACGACGAGTTCGAGCTCTGTGGTCCCAATTTGTGAATTTCTTCTTGGAACTTCGCTTCAGCCTCCTTCAAACATCGTTTACGAAGACGCTCAAATTGGTCACTACCACCACGAAGCTGATGTTCTTGTCCCCGAGGATCACCTGGAAGAGCTTGATCACGAAGGTCCCGCAGCTTTTCCGCGGACCAGGGATTCAGTGGTGAACTCTTCACAGAACCCTTTGTCTCTTCGAGAACTCGTTCTCCTCCACCACCTTTCTAGTGAGGCTCAACTCCCCCGGGCCCCCCAGCAAGAGGAACTCCTTCAGGTAGTTCTTCACGACGTCCCTGAGGTGCCACTGGCATCTGTTCCATAGACCCTCCATTCCCCCACATTCCTGGATAGGGTTGTTCTAGCCCCGCGAGCATTCCCCATGCTTGTTCTTGCAGCGGTCGCAGAAGAGAAGGCATGCCGCCGCCACCCTCTTGCCCTCCACCTTGTCCTTGACCTGGTGGTGCAGGTAGTGCCTGATGTAGTCCACCCACCATAGGCATCTGTGGAAACGCCGGCAATGGAGGAACCATCGGCATGAACACCTGCGGAGGTCCTCGAGGTCCAAGTTCACGAGGCTCCTCAGGCGCCTGCAGTGCTCGTTGTTCTTCCGCTGCCCTTCTTTCCCCCAGAGTTTTCGTCACCGCTGCATACGAAGTCCTCTTCAAGGATGGGGTCATAGTCCTGCTCGGTTCCAGGCTTTGTGCCCTCTTCGGCTGAGCTTCTCTGGCTCTGGCAGCTTCCAACATCGCCTCGAGCTGTTCATCAGCTGTTGGTTCCTTCGAGGTCGAACGTCTCCTTCTCATCGTGGTCGATGTCATGGCTTGGGCTCATAACCCATGGAAGTAGCGCTGTGTGCGGGCGTGTGTTTTCTTGAGCCAACGTGTTATGGCGGTCTCGCCATGTTTCAAAAGCTGTGGAAGCTGTGCGAACTGTTCCGCGGTTCGAAATGGATGATCATGAATGTCTGGATGCTAAATGTTGAAAGAAAAATGAACAACACCCCGCTCATCTTATCATCTCATCCCAAATCCCCGGGTCCTTCAAGGCCGAAGTGGCTTTTGGCTTGGCGCGCCCCGTTGAGGCGGAGCGTCCGATCTCCTGTCCTTTCGAGTTCCGCGGCACTGAGAGGGTCGACCTCGGGTGGCTCCGGTCGTAGCAGTGTCAACCCCCAACAAGAAGTCAGGTCTCAAAACCAGGCTCAATTACATAGGAAAATGATCTGACAAAACCTTTGAATCATCAGTCTCGCAAGAGCCAGGTCTTGACTGAAAGCACCGGTGAAAGAACCGTCGTGTCAGGGATGTCCGACGGTTTTGGGGCGCCCATCCCATCGCTTCTAGGTTGGAGGCCATTGCCAAGTCTTCTCTTTCTCATGTCCTTCTTTCTTTCCTTGTTTCTTCCTTTCTCTTCAGGTTTGGGGCGCCCATCCAATTTGTGCTTCCAGCCGGCAGGTCTGAGGTCAACGAGGAGGCCAAGGAGACCTCCTGCCGCTCCACCAGAATCGCCGCTTGGTAGGCACGTTTCACCTCATGGCGCGGCACCAGGTTGGGCACCAGGCAGAAATCATAGCAGAAAGAGACCAAGTCCATGGCGTTCATGTGAGGTTTCTTCTCCTGCCAAAAGTGGAGAGATGTTGAGGGTTGAGAGCGGAGGAAGAAAGCTGAATCCACGTGCAGAGTGGAGTATAGTATATACAGTAAAAGCTTTTTTGAGTTGGGCAGGGGGTTCCCTCTTTGTGAAGGGTGTTTTGAAGAAGGCTCTCCCTCGGGCAGTCAACCTTGGGGGACCAAGCTCGGTCATATCGTTCCAAGTGCTCAATCTGCCGCCCCTCTTCACAAAAGATCCTTCTGCTGCACGCCTGGTGCTGTTTTTTGGAAAAGGGGTCAAGCACGATGAACTGAACATCCATGGAGGTTCAGGCCCCGGTCACCTATAAGTATATAGATATAATATAGATATCTGTCTTTATAATATATATATATATTCCCCATTATTCCCCTCGAATTAAGTCAACCTCTCCGGTTCCAGTTCTATTCGTGTGAGTCCCTTGTTCACAAATACGTAGTTCATAGTAGTTCCACCACCAACCTGTGGGCCAGAGACAATGCTGGTTAAACCTTTAAAAGTCTCTCCGAGCAACACCAAAAGTATGCGTCACAGACCTCAATTGTGTAACTATCGGCTGTCAACGCAAGTAATAGGCACCTATATAAATGGGACCCAACTCACCGTGCCAGGTCAGCGGAAAACAGCGCAACACTTTGCGCCTTGGTCTCGCTGGCGTAAGACTCGAAGATCACCGTGAAGGCATGCCGAAACTGTTCCACGATCTGCATGACCTGTCAGCGACTCATGGGAAGGGATGTGGCTACGAAGGGACAACTCTTCATGCCCACCAACCACTCAGCCAGAAACCGTTAAAACGCATGGGGTTCCTTCGACGCTCACAGATATACAGTAGCTTAGGAACTTCCTTCTCAGGTCGGTGGCCCAAGCATGGCACCTTGAGAAACTATGCTTCCACTGGCAGGGTCGCTGATCAAAATGTCACTCCTCACATCCTGAAGAGATCCAACAGCCTAACGGTCACTCGTGGAAACCAAATGAAGCCAGTCCCAGCAGGATGATCCGGAATTAAATAATTACTCAGGATAGGTTCCTGTAGACCAACTCCATGAGTCTGTGAGTGCAGGACCGTTGCTGCCTACCGTCCTACCGTCCTCCCATCCCCTTGATGGCGGGACAATGGCGTAGGCTGCACCCTCTTGTGGCGGCCACTCACGCTGATGGGAGGAGAAAGAAGCCCTGCCTATACTCTATATATATATACAAAGGTACTCGATTTCTTAGTGAACCTGGTACCGTGCACTCTTGCCTACCATCGGGACCCAACCTACTCTTGCCAGTCACTGTCAAATGCGATTCATCTCCAACCTCATGACCAAGATTAGACCCGCAAATACCTGCCAAAACGTCGTCAAAACATTCCACAACACATTCCTACAATGTGTCTCTTCATCATGACAGTCTTTCCTACATCTGAAGCTTCTCCCAACTCCCTCCTGTTGCCCTGGACAAGGCTGGGACCCTGCGAGGCCTCTGGCTCTTTCATCATGCCTGAGGCAGTATATGCACTGCACTAGTTAGTCGAAGAAAGCTGGCTGTACGCGGCTGGAGGTGCACAACAAAGAACCTTTTCTTAAACAGGGCCGTTTGGGAATGGTTCTGAATTCAAGACAAACCCTGGCAAACTCATACGCCTTCTAAACAAGACCTCCCCCCATTTCAGTGGGCTTCGTCTGTCATCCCGCAACCACCTCTAACTACCCCCCACGCAAGAAGCTCAAAGTTTCAGATATGCTAGAATCGAATCGCCCACCCCAGGATCGTCAAATCCGGATGGCACTGATCAATCCGATGAACGGCCCTTCAAGATCTAAGACAAATCCGGTGTCTTTTCTGCACCAGTGCTCCAGGAGGCTCTTGTGAATACAGGTTAACATGCCCAGCCGCAAGAGGGGGGGGAGCCTTTCGGGAGTCACATCTTTTGCGACCCCATATGTTTGGTGTCATCCTATCTGCTGGGAAAGCCAAGCTGCAGCACGCGTGCCGGTCAAACTTCCAACGTTGGCTCTCTCTGATACATTCCTCCTCCTCGCAAGTGTGATTGGGCGCGACGGATCAGCAGGTTGATTTGGAGCCGATTGTGGAGGAGAGACTGCTCTTTGCTGCTCAACAATCTTAGATAATTAGCCTGGCAAATTGGAAGGTATGCAATCTTTCTCTCCTTTGTCTGAGCGTCCATTTTCTGGATGGTTTTCATAGCGAGGGTGGCTTGGTTCGGTGATCACAAGACGCCAATGCCCCTACCCTTCCAATTTTGGCATTTACAGTAGAAAACTGGCAAAGCGCAAAGCACGGAAAACCAGAAATTGCGGTCCTTCATCTTGCCGTTCTTTCCTGAAGGATCACCCCGTCGTAGCAACTGATGAATGTCCCAGCTTCTTGATTGGAAAGCGGCACACATGCACCCAGAATCCACACTCCACAAATAGTAAAACACCCAAGAATGTGGGACTTGCATGATTCACTTCCCCCCAGCAAACCCTGGAAGTCTCAATGTTCTTCCTTCATCAATTCAACACTCAGGAGAGGCAGGAGTCTGTGTCAGACTACCATGGATTTGGGGCTGGGTCACTTCGCTGGCGGACAAAGTCAGATCCAGCCCACTCCCTTGCCGCCCCTGGGTCTGGGACCGGCTAGGCGGTATCTCACTTCCCAACAAGAAAAAATCGGAACTCCTGGTCAAGTTTGAATGGGTCCGTTGGAATAGAACGGCAACTCACAATCCGCAATGTTTAAACGGAAAAACTTGTAAGATGCATACAATCTTTTTGTTTGACCCTCTTGCCCATGGGCCCACGACAAAAGGTGTTGCATTTACTCCGTCTCACCTCGGTCAGAGCCATTGGTGTTGACGAGGTCGGAGGCGTTGCTTTGCTTCCAGGACTGCAGCCGCAGCTGAGCGGCTTGCGCAGCTGTCCTGCTCTCGTCCTGGGGACTTCGCAAATTGCTGACTCACCTGGTAAAAAATTCACGGATCAGGCTCTTGTTGGAGGCCACTTGTGGGGACGCGCTGGAAAATGGCAACAGCAAATTATTGCATATTATAGCAGATTGCTATATATACGAAACTTCAATTTCCCACCAAAAACATGCTCCGATGCAAGGCATGGCAACTCCCCAACTCGCCGCTCCTCACGGGTTCTCCATTCCTCAGCTTGTTGAGGGTCCCAGCATGGGTATGTTTCATGACTTCAAATATTGTTTTTGAATAGACGACTTAAAGTCTATTTTGTCTGTGTAGCACATGTTGCACAACAAAGTTGTTTTCCAATTTGGGTAATTTGGGCCTTGCTCAGCCATGCTCCACTTTCGACTGTTGTGGATGTTGTTCTCTACTTCCCTCACTTCTTCTTCCACAGCCCGACCCATTCCGATCGTCCAAGTCGCCCGCCGCAACTGGCCATGCGCCGCTTTCAGGCGGCTCAAAAACTCCTCCCGAGGGCTCAATTCGAAGCGCGTGCGCAGCAGCCTGGCACATCCGGATGGGCCACGTGTCAGAACTAGACTTTACGTGCCTTTACAACAAACGGAATCAAATATGAAGGCATCACTCAAAGTAGTACTGGTGGATTCATCGTCCTCCAACGCTGTGTAGCTGATCCCGTTGGCGCACAAAAAATGCACAAACGTGGACACACTCACACACTCGAGATATTGCGTGCTGACACGGTTTGCGGCTTGCCACTCGCAAACCTAAGTAAAGACCTAAGGAAATGGGACAGGTATACACCGGCAAAATTTAACATCATCAAAAAAAAGTAAAAGAAAATGTTTTGTGGTGGTATGTTAGTGTGAGGTGTCCTATTTGTGTTAAAAAACTGGGAGCGGGCCATGTTAGTGTGGACAAACAGTGGGAAATTTTCCCAGGAACATGACACAAGGTGCGACTAACATGGACCTGTTTGGAAGGATTATTGGACGACAGTGTTCTATGTTAGTGCACTGCCTGTATCATTTCGGCCTCAAAACGAGTGTGGGGGTACACTTGGGGATGGCTGAGATGTCTGCCTCTCATTCTGGTTCCACGTTCTGCTGTAGTTTGTTTTTGCGTATTTCCTACTGCACATTATGAAGCATCAGCCGCCAGAGCGAAGAGAACAAAGACATACAGCACAGGAATGGTGATCATCTTCTCGCAGGTACGCGCAATCTGCGTCCAGATTGCATACCACAGCAAACTTGAAGCCCACCGCTCCCCTGTTAAAAGAGAAATCGTGAGATTCCCTGTGGTTCCAAGGGTTTCACACATAGATAAAGGCTCGCAAGAGCAGAATCAGTGGACAGTGGACAAAGTCCCAGTTGCACTAGCCCTTTAAAGGAGGCTAAAAATTTTGCAGGTACGTGGAAATGGCGTCCCACTTCCATATCCCCGGATGCATCGCCAGCTTCGTTGACCAGGCGACAATGTATCCTGCCTGGCCCCCTGCTGCTGTACACAGTCTGGCAACAAAGAGTGAATGATGTGCTTTAACAGGTAGGAATCCTTAGAGACAGGAGTTGGCACACACACACCAAAAATAAACCGTCATTCGGCGCTCTGAGGGTTGGTGGAGGGAGGGCGTGGAAAAAAATGGGACGCAACAATGTGTGCTTCGGGGGTTGAGCGGCGTCGTCGTCATCTTCTTCATCACTTGCGGAGGGCGGAGTCGAAAGGTGTGGGCAAGCTGTGGGTGGATAATACATAGAAGTGGGCTGTGTGGCCATGCGGGCGGTAGGCCTTGAGGTTGGTCTCGGGTTGGATGTGGACTTCTTTGGCTTCAGAGATTGCTGATCATTTGCCGCAGGGCTCACTGAAACTTCTTCCAAAGAATGACATGACATGCGGCTACATATTCATAGGACTGGTTTTCGGCTAAGTAATCAACAGGCCTGAGTCAAAATTTAACGAGCAATTTTTAATTAGCATTCATTGCTCCACACACTCACTTGCTTCCACTTTGCTCCGCCATCGAGCCCGACGCCGTGCACTACCCGTGGCACACTTCAGCAGCTCCCTGCAGGACTTATGGTCCAGTACCTGCAGTACTACCGTCAGTGCCTGTTCAATACCACACCACCTCCGATTGATCCTCCATCACACCCGGCCTGGCCTCCGATGTCCTCATCAGCTCCACCACAGGGTCAACCACTACCAACTATGCCAGTCAGCGGATTTGCGAGACAGCTAGGAGCCCAGCGGCGCAGCATAGTTGCATGGCTGCAAGAAAGGGGACATGCCAGCCATGTCACGTTGGATTTCATGCACTTCTTCGTTTTTCGGTTTTGAGATGAGATGTGGGTCCACGTGCAATCCGAGGAATCAGGGAGGATCACCCTTAAGGGTATGTGCACATGCCGCGCCCCTCGCTGGGGATCACACCACAGCCCTCAGCGGGACTCTGTGGCGATACAAACTTAGATAAAGGCTCGCAAGAGCAGAATCAGAGCCCTTTAAAGGAGGTCAAAAAAATTTGCAGGTACGTGGAAATGGCGTCCCATTTCCATATCCTCGGATACATCGCCAGCTTCGTTGACCAAGCGACGATGTATCCTGCCTGGCCCCCTGCTGCTGTACACAGTCTGGCAACCATGAGTGAATGATGTGCTTTAAACGGGAAGGGATCCTTAGTGTGGTCGAAGTCCTTAGAGACAGGAGTCGACACACACACACACACAAAGAGCACGTACGATATGAATGCCGCATGCTACACGCCAACCTAATGAAAAAGAACCTAAGTTACCTAAGTACAGCATGCAAAGCAAGAGGTCTCAAATAAAGCTTCATCGTGCAACACGGCCAAAAGCGAGCGATCACACCTGCCGACCCGACCTGAGAGTTACCTAAAGAGCCTGAAAGTTAGAGTGGGATGTGACATCGCAAACAAGCGGGTACGTCGATCCAGTGTCACGGATCGGTATCACCAATCTGACGGCTGATCGATAACCATCTGGTCGTCCATCAGCCAAGGAAAGCAGGATGGAGCAACCCTTTGTAAGGCGACACACCCCCTGACGAGCCATGATGGCTCCAAGAGACAGCCCATGCTTAAATGGCTGCCTTCCGTGAAGACTAGAGTAGTAGCATGTTCAGAGGGTATGCTTTGAGGATCTTTGAGGTATGCTTCGCCTAAGTCGAACATCCCAGCTCTACATAAACTGGACACGTACTTAGAACGAAAAGGCAAACCCACGACCAGGTGACTGGCAGCTTTGCACCCATTTAAATCACCGATTTCTTCGACCAAGGCCTATCCAGGACAGCGATGAAGTCCCATCTGGACACACACCAAGCAGACCTCGCACGGCCTTCCTGCAGGAATTGCAATGCAGAACCCTGCTGAGCTTGACATGGGGATGCCTTGAAAGAGGACAAGTCTGGTCTGGTGCATCAATATGGGTCAAAGCCCTGCAACCATGTGATGGCTTGCACATCGTAAGTCGTAAGTTGCTGTTCATCCAGACAGGCCCAAATAGCTTTTTTCCCCTTCTCCACATGGACATGGTTGTGATTCGCGACTGAACGCATTGAATTTTACACAAACTCCTCAAGCTCAAACATCCCACTATTTGCATCGTGCGCTCTATGACTCTATGAACTCTTCCACTCCTGCATGTTCCTACGTAGTCCCTCCCACTGCCTGGCCCATGCCATCCAAAAGCCCGCCCGCTCCGGTGTGTCGTCATAGTCCGGGTCGCCCGCGGCCAGGCGAGTGGGTTTGGCGTACGCATCGAAGACTTGATGAGCCCAGATGTACGGCAAACGATCCTGCCGCGTCCAAAAGTCCACACGTTTTCGTCAGTGGGCACGGCTCTATGGAGCTCTGGCGAGATCTGGCACAGTTCGTGGGAGAGCCTATACCCAACACCCCACAATGGTCAGCCGAACATACCATCATGCGCCAGGAAAAACAGAGCCCTTGAGCCACTGGCTGGGGGGGGGGGCCATTGAAAGACGGACCATACCCATGAGACCCTTTCAACTGAAACGGCTCCACCTTGTTTGGGTCTCACGGATCTGAGTTCATGGAGGCCTTGCACCAGGGAGCAACTCCACCACTCTCCTTGTCCCGCAGGTTCAGGTCCACCAAGAGCTGGGAGAAGGTCGACCTGAAGGCCCAAAAAAAAACATGTATATATATATATATATAAAAAGAAAAGCACTCCCCCGCTCAGTCGGCCGCTGCATCCGTTCCAGCGCGACGAGCCACCGCTTGCTTTTCAAAAAAGAATAATCGATTTGAGGGGAAGACATCGGGGTTCACCACAAGGTTACTCATCGCTGCCATCCCCGCCTGTCGATGCCCCAAATAGGTGTGAGGGCCACTGCGCCCATCCATCCCTCAAGCTTCTCCAGAATGCCCTGCACATCATCGTAGTTGAAGACCCAACCTTGCCTCTTAACCTCAGTTCAGTAAGTGAGACTTCTCCGGTGATAGCTCGAGTCCATCCTCTTGAGAAGGTAGGCAGGGGATTGCTCTTGCGAACCAAAACTAGGAAAAACATGGTCAGATGGAACCATGTTTGGGCGGCAGCACCAGCAGCAGCAGCAGCAGCAGGCAACAGCTTTGTGTATGGCATACACTGGCCAAACGAAAGTTGCGCTGGTTGAAGTTGGAACTCATCACAGCCCTATCTCCTAGAGTCCTACGCAATCTGACAAGGGATGGTGTGGTGTGGACGGTCATGTCTGACCCCGGAAAGCCTTTATCACTATAGATTTAAAACGGTGTGATCATTGACTGTCCCACACCTGTCACAAAAGTTGAACTTGTTAATTCGACCCGCCGCTGACCTCAGCGCGCTTCTATTTTTAGAAGACGGCTAACAGCATGAACTTTTGTCTGCCTGAAGTATGGCAATATTGTGGCAGCTCTCTTTGGAGGAGAATATGTTGCATGCTCAACACTCAGCGTGACAATGCGTGCATTTATATTGGGGCCCGGGCACTTCCCGATCTAGCATCTGTCAGGATGATGATGACTACGAACTATACCAATTGGACCCGTAGCAGTTCTATGCAGTTCTCCGGCAGCGCACCAAACCTCCTCCCTGTTGTCCAGGCCAAGCAACCAAAAACACGGTCCTCGGGCTGTGTGGGCTTGTTCCAAGGCACGTCGTGTGAACCCGAACATTTAAAAACCTACTAAGAACAAAGCATCGGACAAACCTACACCGCTGTCGACGTGGAGCAGTTCCATGGCAAGGCTCTGAGGATTTCGTTCGGCCAGGTACCTGGGCCGGGGGAAACACGCAGCTCCAAGTGCTTGCCCTGCACCACTCCACGGCTGCACAAAACAACCATCCAAAAACCATATTGAGAGTGGGATATCCTGTTAGGTTGCTTAGGGCCTTCTCTATCTTCTCTATTACTGATAGCAAAGTAGCATCCTTGCATATCGATAAACAAAGGGTTGCGTGGGTCAGGTCAGCCCAAGTCAAGGTAACCGTGTGTGCCTCATGTCTAGCTCGCGTGTTATGAGTGGCATCAGCAAGAAAGACCTCAACGCAGCACCCCTTTGACTGTCAGGCTGCACATTGTGCCTCTCGCTGCGCCTCATCTGCTCAGCCGGAAACATGCGGCTTTCGATGCAACAGCAGTGAGGAAATAGCGTGCCGTGCCACAATCACAACTATTTTGATCTATTTTGGGGGGTTCGATTGGTGCTGGATTGGTTTCATTCTTCAGAAATTTTGAAAGACTGCTATGCCCTTTTGCTGAGGGCTGTTCAAATCATCTGCCGATCTACTTTGGGCCTAAGCTGGATTTCGGCCTCCAAGGCCTCTGCCCTGGTCCTCCTTCATGTACACTGTATACCCACATACTTCAAACAGTTCCCCCCCTCTTTGTCTTCTCCTGATTGTTCGGCTGAGAAGCTTCCGGTTGTCCCGCTCTTGCTGCCGGGAGCTCGGCTCCAAGGGCAGCATCACCTGGAGCAGGCATGATGCTGTGCAGCTAGGGCACCGGGGGGTAGACAGCTGGTTGCTTGAAGTGTGAACACTAGTGAGAAACGCCACACGGAGCAACCATGCTCGTCCGATCTTGTCCGTCAAGAGCTTAAACTCTAAGACGAGTGCAGGAGCTGAATGTAATTACTCTCCATTCGCATCGGCGGGTTTGCTGTGTAGGCCGCGAGAGGCTACAATGAGAATTTGTGCGAGGAATCAGCCACAGCACAACCATCTTGGTGGTAGAAAACCATCGTTGCTCCTCACCCGCACCAGCTGGCATTCAATAGCACTGCGGGCCGCAGGCCAGCACCACCAAGACCAAGATTATCTTGGTCACCTTCATGATCCATCCCGGCCCGTCCTGCAGTTGATGAACAAATCCTGCACCAAAAGGCAAAACCCTGGAAGGTTGACATCCTTGGAAGTCTCTGCTGGTCATTTTGGGGTGGTCAACCAAGGTCCCCCTGTTTTGACTCACAGCCATATCACATCATCCATCATCATCCTATCTCCCAGAATGGTTCGGCAATGTGTGGCTCCAAACGCCCACTGCCTCCTCAGTCATTCCCTGCGGCAAAAATGAGAGGCCATTTTCCTGGCCGAGGCAGAAGTGTGGAATGGATGCAAATGGCCACAGAACTGTGGAGAGAAAGCCCTTCTAGATGCTCGACATTGCTCGACAAAAGTTCAAAGGTGTATGTAACATTACTTAGTTGTGGAGATGTAGAACAAGGAACAAGAGCAGCAGCCGTTGCAGTGCCTTGCGTGTAAAATCGCAGAACCCCGGGGCAAAACCAAGTGTCCAGCCCACCTAGTCTAAGAGCTCGTCTAAGTTTAAGAGCTGGCATCCATTTGATCGTTCAGTCATGTTGCTATTAGGTTGGAGGCTGGAGGCCATCGCTATTGGGTTGGAGGCCATCGCTATTAGGTCGGAGGCCATCCAATCTGTCACGGCAACCACCCGCTTCGTCTCCTCCAGCGGTGGGAATCCGTGTCGGATTAACTGGAGCTGGCGCCGCGCCACCTCTGAGGTCCGGTACTTCTCCGCACTGGCAAGGCCCCTGGTGGATGCATGACCCAAAAACAGCTGGGAAACCCTCCCCCATCACTGTCCATCCCACCAGGCACCACGCGCTCCACAACCTTCCAGAAGAGGCTCAGCCCAAAATGTTCAGAAGCTCAGCAGGGAGGCCCACCAGCAGAGCTTCTGCTATGATACTTATAACTTATAAATACTTATAACTTATAAGCTACGTTTACCTACACTGTAGGCTACCCACTGTGGCACCTGGGCCTTTCTCTACTGCCATCGTCTTCGGCTGGCCTGAACTGCACCTCCTTCCTCTCTCTGTGCCTCAGGCTCATGATGATTCCGCAAGCTCTGATTGCTCCTGACCGCCTCTAACCATTTGTCTGCTAAACCTCTTTGTTCCAGGGAAAAAGCTTGAGCAGTGCCCTCTTTCCCGCTTTCAGAACCAATGTGCCCACCATCATATGCTGCCAAGGCTACGCCTGCCTGTCCTGCTCAATCATCGCACTCGCTTTGCCTGAGTCAGGTGAGTCATCCCCGTTTGAAGCCTGAACATTTATATAAGCACTTTTGGACTATGATATAGCCTCCGCAAGACTACACACTGCGCTGCAAACGAGGCACGATAGGCGATTGCTGAAAAAAGGTGTGCCTCCTTGGTTGTCTTGATGTGCTGGGCCGTGGAACCAAAGGCTTTCGACACTTGTGGATGCCTCAGGTTGCATCAACCAACTCCGCAGGGTCAAGCAGGACCTGGGGCTGGCGCATTCTTTAGAGAATCTGCCGGACCCACCTTCATCCGTCATAGCAACACCCCATGCCCTCGCAACTACCAGTCCCGCCGCACGCGAACACCTACCCTCTCTCTCTCTCTCTATCTCCAACCACACGCCTGCGAGCAGCCACAGACATCGAGAGGTTCGAGAATCTTCGTTGCCCAAACTCATCGAAGTAGTCCCTGCAGGACTCACCACGAAAGAGCGAGTTACACTAAATCTTTTCACATGATTTGGAGCACTGGCTATACAAATGATAGAGGCGGTGGGTCAATACCATGACAGGTTGACATCCATGATAGGTAGTCAATTGCATCGTTAACGTGAAGAATTGACTACCAGGAGCTCTCGCCACAGCCAAGCGCACGCTAGAATATTGCCGCCTCAGCCCATACTCCTCAAAGCACTCTGCCTCGCTACATGTGCCGATGTGTTGACTCAAAATGTCTCAGTGGCTGACTCGGTCCAGACCCCCCCGTGCTCAGCCCTAGAGGTCATCACCTGCCCAACGTCTCTATGCACAACGAACCAATGTGTCATACACATCATGTCTTTCCTCCTCCACTGGAAGTAGTTTCTATGTGGCATGGGCTTCATTCACACCCGCTGTCTCTGACAGGGAGGGGTCTATCCCACTACTGGGAACCCTGACAACTCCTCGCTTGTTGAGGTCCGCCACCACCAGGCCACACCTGAGGAGGAGTAACGGGCACCGGCCCGCTCTTCGTTGACACAACACTCATGTAGCATGCTGCGTGCTGCACTGTAGCCCCAAAACAAGCAGGATAATGTTCTTCAACAATGTCAACTCGCTTCTATCAACTATCACCACTGAGAAGGGACAACACACATTGTTGGGTGAGTTCTGAGCCCATTCGTAATATACACCAACAGCTACAGCTCAAAGAGCTTCCAGGTCGTTGCTCCAGGCCTCAAGTTTTGCTCCCTCCCTGCAAGCACTGAAGGATGGACCGCTTCCTGGCCACAAGAGGTGGACTCACCATTTCCATGCGACGATCACTGCGTGAATCTGTTCCCGAAGATCCCGAGACAACGACGGTTCAGAATTAGAAAGTTGCGCAATCAAACCTATACCGCCATTCTGAGGAGCTTTGTTTGCTCTATGGACCGGAGTTGGCACCTCAGCCCACAGCATAATGTAACTTTGGTGGGGATGTCCCTGCAGGTGTCACTCGCGGATCAATGATTGGAATGCCACCTCAACGGGTGCTGTTTCACCGGACTTGCCTCCAGCCCCCGTTTTTTGGCATGAAATGGCTGGAAAAGCGGTCAAACAGTCAAACAGCAACACCCGAGGAATTGTGCATGATTCCTCCCTATTGGGTCGTAGTTCTGTTGAACACGATTAGTTGCTCTCAGTCTCATCAGTAACTAGTCGTCAGTGAGATCTTTTCCCTGATTTGAGGGCAATCGTCCAAAAATCTCCAGCATCAAGAAGGACCCAGGAGTTCGAGACGTTCTGCATCGGAACCGCTTCGCCTCCTCATCCGCGATGGAGCCATCAATGGGTGACAGAAAGCGAGAAGGACCCGAAGATGGCCGGCTGCACCTGGGGCAGCGTATCACAAGGTTTCACGAAGAGAGTGGCCGGAAAACCCACAATGGGCTGACTATACATAAGCCAAACGGATAGAAACATAAAGAACGACACCAACTGATCAAACGCGATGTTTGTCCATGGAAAACTGGCGACCCCTGATGTACACGGCAGCCCCCCTGCGGCAGAAACGATGATAAACGTTCCGACTCCAAAATAAACAACATAATGACTCATGACTTAATAAACAAGATGGCTCGGAGGGCCCGCTCGGAGAAGCCATGGATTTGTGACCGACTCGAAAGTCGCATTGCTCCCACCGGACATGCAAGGACTGTTGGACCTTAGAGGCGCAGGCCAAGCTCTTTGACCTGGGCATCAGAAATAACCTGGCGATGCTATCAGCAGTGGCCATCGATCGAGAGTCCTTGGAGAACCTTGCGAAAGCGAGCTTGGGCATCGACATAGGCTCAAGGCCTACGGACGCGGTGAAGTTCGCAACTCTTTTCCTGGCATGGCAGTCCTGCAAGAAGAGAGTGGCCGTGAGAGATGAGCTTGACGCAGAATAAGCAGAAGCTCAAAGGGCACCCAAAACGGTTCCAGCATTGGAGATGCAGCTCTACAGGGCGGAGTTCCAGAAGCGGTTCTATAAACTTAAGTAAGGACACGGAGTGTCCGGGAAAACCCAGCTTTGAGGACCTGTGCGAACAGCTGGACTCGGGTGAGCTGAGGCCCATGAGCCTGCGCCACTTTGGATCGAGGAACGAAGATGATGAGGCTGAAACGGGAAACATCCGCCTAGCCAAGAGCGGGGTGTTGAAGATCAAGAAGGCGAAGGTGGAGACGGCCAATCCGACCAACTTGGAAGAATTTCGGTCTAAGATCATGTTGATGATCAACCACTTCGTATTTGCTAGGTTTAGATTCCCGAACAAGGACGTGCTAAAGAATGTCAACCCATTCACTTCCTTGGAGTACCTCAACTACCTGTGCGGGAAGGATGTCTCTATGATGGAGGCGCAGACGGTGGAGGGAACCAGCTTGCATCGCCCATCGCTGAAGTTGATAATGCGCTAAGAGTACCAGATGAGAAAGGAGGCGATGGACCACGTGAGCAAGGGGATGGATCTTGCGAAAGCCCTGATGCTCAAGACCAAGGATTCAGATATCAGGGAGCGACACTTCAGCACGCCACTTGCTGTCTCAAGTGCAGCTCAGTCACTTCATGATCCCTGGCGACAAAGAGGAAAGGGCGCAGAGC